TTTTTGTTTGTCAGCAGCTTGAACTGAACATCATAGTAGCATGATATCCCTATTTCTGAAAACAGTTGTTTATTAACTAAGGTATTTTTTAATTCCTCAGTTTTTTTCAGAGAGAAAAATGGTAGTGGAATAGACCATCTATATGCTAAAATTGGTAAGATAATCTGAGCCACGAGTAACAAGTTGGCTACATTGCATTGATTACATAGTCACAGAAATAATAAGTGACTTGGCCCTTGAAACAAACCAAATCATTGTTTGCATCCCAGATTGATTTGTTTTTGTTGTTTTGGCATGAAAGTGGCACAGGGATTTCAGACTAAGGAGAGGAAATATTTACTAATGAATTCCAATTCTCTGAGGGAGGTAGTAATATTTGGGATAGTGTATTTGGAGCAGTTCGTTGCACTTCCCAGACCAGCCACTTTCAGCTTATGTACCTTAGCTATTTTAGCTGGATCTGGGATAGTATATTTCTGAAATAAAACAGGAGAAAAACTGAGAACAAGTTGTAGACATTTTATCATCCCGGAACTTAAAATTGGGCTACATCATTCAGAAACTAGGGTTGGCGAATCACCTAACACATCAGTGAATTGAGAATTTAAAATCAAGGCCATTTCTTTTTTTCCTTGAGGTGTCGGGGAGACATTTTATATTTCACATATGACATTAGGTGCCATTGATTGCTTCTCTCCCAAGAAATCCTGTTTTTCAAGTTGTCTGTAGTGCCTGAATACCTACATCTGCCTCCCATGTGGGGTGAGGAAGGCATTCCCCTCCTAAAAAATCACTGCTACTCTCCTGTGGGTCAGCTTTCCTAATGACAGCTTTACTGGTAGCCGTAAAGATGCTTGGAAATAGTGGATTATGCTACCCTTTCCCTGAGCAAGGAAGAAAAGAGAAAATGGACCCCTGTTCCTCTAGTTTGTCTGATCTGCTACTTGTCCTAAGAAAGGCAGCAAGAATAGTAACTACAAGGCTAGTAACAGTGCTGAGGTCAAAAAAAGGCCCAGGGACAGCTTATAGAACATTTCTGCGCAATTATTGGACTTGGATTCCTAGATAACATTTTTTGTGGTCCTTCTGACTCAGGCCATTCTGTGCTTGCACAGCGATAATTCTAGAGCTGCGTTTTGGTAGTAATCCCAACCCCTCACCTGCACGGATATAAACCATGTGTTCCCACTGCAACCTTCTCAGCAATTCAAGTTGGAACTGGTTCAAGCCATTTCCACCTCAACAGGTTTCTTGTTTACCTTGTCAACACCCTCGAATGCCCTTTCAGGGCTCTTCCTTTTCATATTGTTCCTATAGCCACTCAGCACTGTTCCTCCACCATGAAACCTCCACATGGCTCCAAGCAACATTTGTACTCCCTCTTCACCAAGCAGCTACCACTCCTCCTCTGTTTCAAACAGGCTAGCACTGTTTTTCCACAGATGGGACCCTATAGCTAGAGATGCTTGGGTCCTCCATATTATTCAACACAGGTATTCCATAGAGTTCTACGAATTGCCCCTGGTGTGTATCATCTGACAAACATGACCCTCAAAACCTCTACCAGGAGATTGCAACACTAGATGGTAATGATGGAGTGGATCAATCCATCCCTTGTGCACCTTGGATTCTATTTGAGTTACTTTGTCACCAAATGGGATGGAAGCTTGTGCCTAATTTTGGATCTGGGATCATTACTCACTAGTTAGTTCAGGATGGTTGCCCTTTCTCCTATTCACCCCCTTCAAGGAGAGTGACTCACCTTGATAGACTTATAGGGCGCATACTTCTACATCAGTGGGTACTTCTTTGCTTCTTTTGTGGGGCTGGAATATCAGTTTTGCATCCTTCTGGCCTGGCAACAATCCCAACAATCTTTACAAAATGTTTCACTGTGGTAGTGTCTTAGCTACTTGTCCAAGAAGTTTCTTGTCTGCCCATATTTAGAGGACTGGCTGACAAGTGCTTGTTCTTTCCCCCAGGCCCTGCAAAATGTCCACCTTGCAGTGTTCTTTCTTCAGGACATGGCTTCATGATAAATAGGAAGAGTCCTCTTCTTCTTGATGGTCTCCGTGACTCACACAAACTGTCCTCCGCAAGATATGCAAACTGTCTTCTATGTCCATCCTGCTGTATCCCGTTCATAGTGGCAGTTTTCAATTCTGGGAGGTCCAGAACCTTCCTACTCCAGGACATCCCTGAACATAAAGATTTTTCTGAAGGGCTACATGCACTTTCATCCACCTAATTGAGGGTACTGTTTATGTGGAGACTCTTGTTGCTCCGCTCCAGTCTAATGATGGCCCCCTTCAAACCTATGGCATTCTTCGATCTCCAGCTGCTCTCTTGGAAGACACTCTTTCTCATCACCATCACCTCTGCTCAAAGAGCCAGTGAGCTTGCAGCATTAAGGGCAGACCCCCTTTTACTTATGCTTTCATAGGAACAAGGAAGTCCTTTCTACAGGCATATCTTTCCTCTCGTACATGGTTTCTGCCTTCAATCTCTGGTTCTTTCAACCTTTGTGAAATCCCTTTCCTTCTGACTTGGAGTACACTTTCCATACCTAAGACATTAGAAAGGTCCTCCTATGTTGTTTGAGGAAAAGAGTTCCAGAAGACTCCTCATCTATGGCATACGTAAGAATCAAAAGGCAATCTCAGCTCAGCGTCTCTCCCATTGGGAGCTGCTTGCTCCCTTGCTGGGAAACCACTTCTGTAAGGGGTTAAAGCTCAGTCCACATGGGCAATGGCCACCTTGTCAGCATATCTCAGAAGGATCCTTCTTCTGGAACTCTGCTGTGCAGCTACATGGTCACAGCCATCTAAGTTCCTATCATCATGGTGGCCTTTGGTAGGGTGATTCTGTTATCACTCCCACCATCCTAAGTGAGTTTGCTATTATCCCATTTATGTAAGTCATAGAGACCATAAAGAAGAAGAGGTTGCCTACCTGTAACTGTGGTTCTTTAAATGCTCATCTGTGCACTCACCAACCCACCCTTCTCCTTTCTTCATGCCGTCTCATTACTCTAGGCCTCACACTGGTGGACATTCAACTGGATTTTGGGAGGAATACAAGACATATCTGTGCAGGTGAGGGGTGGATTTGCTACCAAAACACAGCTCTAGAAGCTTCTGAAGATCTCTGTGCTGACACAGATGGACCCATATGTGTGAGTGCACAGATGACCACTCAAAGGACCACTTACGGGTGGGCAATCTCTTCTTTTGTGGCATGAAAACAAAGTCACTCAGCTGTGTTCTTCAAAACAGGAGGAGGGGAAAGTCTGTAATATGAATGTCTCGTTCTCTGCTGTGGGAGAGGGCAGGTGAAAGAAAGAGAGCTTCTTGAGTTATTCTTTTACATGAGGAATTTACATGCCAATCTTTTAGTGAAAAATCTCTGTGATATGCTCCTAGAGTCAAAACATTCAAACTGTAGCAGTTCAGTCATATCAACCCAAGTAAAGCAATGTGTGAAGACTGGGATAAAAAGCAAGTGGATATATGGGAAGACCAGTTTCTGTGGGTTTAAGTAGCCAGTCAGATGTCCAAGCAGATGTTTTTTCACAAAACGCCAATCACCTCACATTGGAAGGTGGGTAGGCGGGATGATTGACAAGGACCAAAGAGGGATCTTTGAGAAGGATATTATTGGCTGAGTTGACTTGTTTAGAAGAAAACAATTCATCATATAGATTGTTTGCAAGAGTTTAAGGGCTTAAACCATCTCCTTGAATTGAGCCCAGAATGGGCTTGGAAGTTGTTTTGTTTCTTGTGTGCCTTCAAGTTGTTTCCAACCTATGGTGACCCTATCATGGGAATTTCTTGGCAAGATTTGTTCAGGGGTGGTTTGACATTGTCTTCCCCTGAGGCTGAGAGAGTGTGACTTGTCTAAAGTCACCCATTGAGTTTACATGGCCAAGCTGGGACTGGAACCCTGGTCTCCAGAGTCACAGTCCAGTACTCAAACTACTATGCCATGCTGGCTCTCCTTGGAGGCTGTGCAGTCATTTAAATGGCTTCTCTCTTGAAAGTAGCAGACCCTGTGCTCCAAGTAACTATAAGACCTAACAAGTCCAATGTGATTTACCTTGAGTATTTAGGAACAGCTAAAGAGGAAACAAAACATGTCTCTAAAAGGAGGATTGTTCCATCATTGGAATGGCCCCATTTATAATTCCTTCCCTTCATAGGTATGAGAAATGTTGCCTTGGTGTGGAGGAACCGCTGAGAGTATCCTCTTTGTTGTTGTGAGTTGATCGGCATGTGGGTGCCAATATTAGGGACATTATGGATATGGGTTGCTGGTTTTTTTATCCCCTTCTTTCCAAAGTGAAACATGTACAGGATACAGCATCACTGTATTCTTCCCAACCCCCAGTAACTGGAGAACAGGAGGGCTTTGCCCAAGAACTAGGCAACAAAAGGGAGCAGACATAAAAACAACAGAAATGAGACTGATGCCATATTGTTGGCGTGATTACTGTCTGCATGTAAGAGATTTTTTTATAATTCTGGCAAAGATTAAGCGGAGCAAAGGCTTAGCACAACACTACAAGTAGTCAGCTATGACAACATGCCCAGTCCATAATTCTATAAATCCCCCTCTAATCTCCTTTTGCTATATCTGTGTGGAAGGATGCTGGCGAACAAATTATTGCACCCAATTTTAATACAAAGTGCCTCATTCTGTTTGGAAAATTGTGTTTCAGAAGAAATCTATTTATTTTTGTCAGCTATTTATTAACTTAATGATTAATAATGCAAATAATTATTTTTGGTTTAAAGAACATTAAATCATTGCCAAAAGTAGAGACTAATCTACATTCAAGTTTTTTGTTGTTGTGTGCCTCCAAGTCATGTCCAATTTACTGAGACCCTAAAGTGATCTTTTCATGGGGTTTTATTGGCAAGATTTGTTCAGAGGGTGTTTGCATTTGCCTTCCTTTGAGGCTTGAAAGAGTATGACTTGCCTAAGGTCATCCAGTAGTTTTTCGTGGACAAGCAGGGATTTGAACCCTGATCTCCAGATTCATAGTCTAGTACTCAAACCACTACTCCATGCCGGCTCACACAGAAAGCTTCCACCAAAAGAAAATCAATCCTTAAAATGTTAGGTGCTTTTAGAAAGCTAGTACTAACTTTTAAAGCATTTTTCACTGGTACTAGAAAGTTTTAAAACAACTTTATCTCATTTCTAAAAAGGAAAAGGATGTAAACTGTTAAATGTAAATGGCTGAATGTAAATACTTAGCCACAGAACAAAGGTGATTGATCTGAACCAATTTTTATATACGAATAAGGATGTCATCCTATAAACACTTACCTGGGAGAAAGCATAACTGAAATCACATAGCTTACAGTAAGCATGCAAAAAATGTATTTAATGTGAGCATCTGAAACATGTGGATCTGATTGTAGATTGCTTAAACCCATTTCATTTTTTCCTATTTCAATGGTTTACACCCCCCCCCCCAAACACACACACACACAACTTTGCAATACAGCCATCATTTTCATTCTTCTTTTCTATTTAAACTGGCAGTATTCCTTCCAAAATTCTGTTTCAAAGTGAACAGTTGACTGTCTAAACACAATCTAATTAGGAGCTTTAAAACTATACTGCACAACATCTCAATTCAGTTAGATGTTAGTGACTGTCTTACAGAAAGCAACATACTATATTATATACTCATGTATAAGTCTAGAAATTTTAGTCAAAAAATTGACCCCAAAACCCTGGTTTGGCTTATCCATGGGTCAATGTAAGTACTGTACTTTAACTTTTGTTAAAAAGGAACCATCCCCTGGTGAATGGTGAGAGTTTAATCACTGAAAATAATAGGGCTCCCTATTATCCGTCATTTCGGTCTTGATACAGTACAGGAGGGTCATACTGTAGTGCAAAATGCAGAGTTAGGATGTTTAACAGAGAATTCTAATGCGAAATTATACTATAGTTTTTGTGGGTTTTTCGAGCTGTGTGGCCATGTTCTAGAAGAGTTTCTTTCTGACAGTTCGCCAGCATCTGTGGCTGGCATCTTCAGAGAACATGAAGATGCCAGGCACAGATGCTGATGAAACGTCAGAAAGAAACTCTTCTAGAATATGGCCACACAATCTGAAAAACCCACAAAAACTATAGATGCCGGCCCTGAAAGCCTTCGACTTCACATTGAAAATTATACTGGTTGAGTCTCCCTTATTGGGACTAGAAGTATTTTGGATTCGGGGATACCTGTGTTTACGTATGTATACATAATGAGATATCTCGGAGATGGGACCTAGGTCTAAACACAAAATCATTTATGTTTCATATATACCTTATGCACATAGCCTGAAGGTAATATTATACAATATTTTAAATATTATATATTTAAATATTGTATAATGTATGAAAAAGTTTGTGTATGTTGAACCATCATAAAGTAAAGGTGCCACTATTTCACCACCCATTAAAAGTTTTGGTTTTTTGAATGTTTCACTTTTGGAATTTCTGATAAGGTCGACTCAACCTGTACTATGCACACATTACACAAGTGCATTGTGTACACACTGCATTGACTGGCCTTACTACCGTTTAAGATTTTGTTGCTCATTTATAAAATCCTAGACAACATGGGACTGAGCTATCTGAGAACCTTTTTAGTCTTGCCACATCTAGCAGAGACGTATCCTACGGTGACTTAAAAGACAGTTTTTCTCTGGAATGACATTTCGTTTGCAAAGTACATCTATGGTATAAGTGTTCCATCAGTTAATAAAAATCATTCTGAGGTACTGAATGCTAGTACTGGCTTCACTTAACTCTGCATAACTGATCCATTTTGCTGTTTCTGTTGTATTCGTTTTAGCTTGTAAACTGCCCTGGTTTTTATTTTAATGAAAAATGGACTAATTTTTTTTTTCAAATAAAGAAAACCCCATCCAGCCATCATTTTAATTACTGCAATTACACAACATTCCAAATAAGGAAGTACAATAGAACTTCATTTTACAATCTGATTAAGAGACATTTCTGTGACATGTCTGTAATATTCTTTGCTTTGTTTTTGATAAATGGTACATCAGTGCAAATGGAAGAATATCCTAGCAGTCTGAAAGTAAAAATCACATTCTGTTAGACTATAAATATAAATAATCTTGTATTTTTTTTAAAAAAAATAACTCATTTCCTACATGTACAGACGGAGCTGTGTGCTACTCTATGCCTAGGATAATTCATTTTCAAATCATTAACTAGATAGCGAAAAGGATCAAAGAGATCCTACAGATGTCTTGACAAGCAATGCTAGCAACAACATTTCTACAATTAAGAGAGTAGAAAAAAATATCAATGATATTAATGTTAAGGCAAATTTTATACCTATGTAGGGGTCTAGTTACTCTAAAAGCTTTTCCTCTTGTACCTTCTGAGCCAAATAAATATGAGTACTATCACCTGACAGCATTTTTAAAAACTAGAAACTTCTGGCTTTTGAGGCCACAACAGTGGCAGACAGAGGGTTTGTTAATCTTCTGTCCAAAAAAGAAATGGTCTCCCACCAACCTTTCCTTCTGCTGAGTTCCAGTAAATGTGCCTTTACAACTTCTGGAGGTTCAGCTAACCATTAGGGACTAGACAATTGTTGAAACAGAGTGACTCTCATTCTTCTGATTTCATTCACCTTCCAGATGCAAATACTTTAGAGGTAAAAGACTTCTGGGGATCTGGGTTTGATCCCTTAGCAAACTGGATTTTACCAGCTGCCAAACACTACAGTTTTGATTGCTCTGCATAGCAAAAAAATAAACAGTGAAAGCAATGGAGGGGTAATTTAACATGCACTGGGAATTTTACAAGTCCCAGAAATATGAAGATGACACATGCAACTATATGTTTCCTTTACTAGTTACTGAAGCACAGATGGAGTAGATAAAAAGGGCAAAATCTCAAATTTAGAAGTATTGAAAGCATCCAAGCTGAATCACAAAAACCAGTGATCTACCAGCAATATGAGAGCAACATGTGAGTCAATACTTCTCTTTGTTCTCAAGCATTTACCTATAAAGGTAGGAGAACAGTAAAGAGATATTTTTAGATTTCATAAACTCATTGGTGTCATTCTCTTTAGAAGCAAATTATGTTGTTAGACGATCCCATAAAAGCTTTTATAGCATGGCCAACACCCATGAAATCAAGAGGCACAGTTGGTCTTTACCGTATTGATGTCCTTTTCCTGCCATCAATTAGTATTCTTTATCTCTGATGATAACAAGAGCACAATCTTAGGAGTTTTCTTTGAAGGACACAGAAGTCTGATGCCAGAGGAGTTTGTGTGCTGGATTCCACTTAATCGTGTAGCGAGGAGCTCACCTACTGTCTGGAATTTAATTCCACATCATAGCACTAGGTTACAGTTTATAAAATACATTTATCTGTGATGGGTGACTTGGTGGGAAAGTGACACTGATGTACCTTCTCCCTTTTTTGTCAAATCTTCTAAAGACTTGTTTTGTTGGCCCTGAGGCAAAAATGGGTCTTGACAAACCAGGCAGAGAGGTTTTGAGTCAGGAACTTGTTTCCTTCTCCATCACTGCCTGAGTCCAACAGATCTGAAATAGGAGAAACCCCATTCTTTCTTTGCTCTCAGCACAATAATGGCCGTGGGATTTTAAATGACATTTTATGACATTTTAAATCATGAAAACATAAAGGTCTGCAGTGGTAATGTCCCTCTTGGTATCATCCTTATCGTCTCCAGTAGATTGGTCAGTAAGCTTCTGAAAAAGCTCATAAAAGGATTATTTTAAAATAATTGTTAATAATAAAATAACCGGCATTATTCTATGGTCAGCTTCTGCTGGATGTTGACCACAGAATTACTGGAGGGCCTAGAGTTTCCTAGAAAGGTGTTTTCCTGGGTAAACAAAAATGTGGGGTTTTTTTATTTGCGTTTTTTCCATGGGGGTCCTGTGCCCTTAATCCCAGCAAAGTGGAGGGCCCACCGTATAAACCCTACACAGGGGTCCCATAGCTCACATGGCAGGGCAGTGATTTTATTATGTTGATGGGTATGTTAATGTTAGCTTTTTGTATATTTTTAACTATATTGTAATTTTAATTTGTAAGCTGCCTTGAATCCCATTCTTGGGAAATAATAATAATAATAATAATTAATAATAATTAATAATAATAATAATATACTTGTGGTTGTGCTTATGGTTATGGCAATAACAGGGATCTCTCTCTCCCCCATGTTGAGATTGTCACGCTGTAGCATTGAGGCTTTTCAAGCAAACTTCTCTTTGAGGTTGCTCTTCTTCTAGCAGAAACTGAGGACTTTATCACACCAGTTTTGCAAGGCGCTCCAATCATTTTAGAGTAGGAAACGCAAACAGACTGTGTTCTCAAAATCACCATGCTGCTGCTTCTGTCCTGGTCTGTCTTTTGCACTTCAGCCTCTCTGCCCTATGCCTTGTGATCTGTATTTATTTTTATTTATTTTATGATTCTAGTGCAATTGTACAATCATGGCAATCCATTAAGTAAAAAAGAAAGAAAAGAAAAGAAAAACAGACTGCTTGGGATTGTTGACGGGGAATGAGGGAGAGGAGTGAAATCATTCCCACTTGCACCACATATCAGAATTGCTTTGGGACTGGGAGGTACTTACCACACATGCATCAACAGTGGAAAAGCATTGGGACTGGGAGGCATTGATGGATTAATTAATGAAGGAGCACTCTAGCAACGGATGTACTACAGACCAGCTACTGAACAGACACAGGGGCGCCTAATAAGGTGCAGCCACAGACTCTGATATCCTGCTTTATTTCCACTTTCCAACCCTCATGTGATAAAGTCCTTAGTCAATATATCCTCCCCAAACTAGCATAGATACCTCTGAATGTAGGAAAAGCAAACAATTCAAAATGTATTAAAAAGAACAAGGGAGTAGATTGCTATTGATAGTATCCCCACCACAAGAGCACTGCCTCTTGTCTTGAATCTTTCAGCCATGCAAGATTCCTATCTTTCCAAAAGAATCTATTGTTCCTTTTCTCATCCAAATGCGTATGTTAGACC